GGAAGGTCAAAAAAGATTTTTCCGGTCTAACATAAGCATAGTCAAAAACATTTTTCCCGACTATTAAACATAGGCATATTGAACACTTTTTGACCAAGATAAGCAAGGCGTCCAATTTTTTCACCGCAAACATACAAAAACCCCTAAAATTGTTAAAATTGTCAACAATTTCATAACTTTCAGCAACTCGACCATCTTTTATCCCAAACTTTGACCAAATTTTTCCCAGTTTTACCTTCAATTTTAAGCAAATATCAGTTCCATTTTGACCAACTTTGGGCAAATACAACGTGGCGTGTGTTAACCCCCCCCCCCCTATAGCAACGTCCCTGCCAACAGCACAAGTCCACTGCAATATATCACAAGACAAAATCTATTTGTTGAAATGTTTACTGAGGATATTTACCTGCAACACATTCAACCATTTACATGACATGGTATACTGTGGTGGCTGAGTTGATGGATAGCCAGGGGGGAAACTGAAATTTAGGACAAGAGGGGGAAGATATTTCACGACAAATACATTCCATATTGCATCATTATCATGGCTGGTTTCATCAGCATTCGTTTCAATTCTTTTGCTCGCAGAAATCTTGACCTCAAAATTTTCGGGTATATCTAAGTATATATTAACTTCACCTCCACTTTGTGATTTTGTAAATACTCGTTCATCGTAAATAGAACTCAACGCAACTAGTTCGTCTTCTTGGCATTCCAAACCTTCCTCTCCCGACTCCATCACGATTACATCTGAAATCTGAATCTCTGATATTCTGTTATGAAGCATCCCCCCCTGAAAATTTTGCTTAATAATTTCCACCCCCCTCCTTTTACAGTAAAACAGTTGAGGGAATAGGCGGAATTGTATTGATTTATAAAATCATCGAATGCTTTATTGATAATTTTTAATAAAAAATATGTATATTGAATACCGAATCTGTTCCTTGGGACTTTGAAACAAAAACTAAAATATATATTAAAAATGGCAGGCATTGTTGTTGCTGATACAATCAAAGTTACAACTGGCAATGAAGAATGTGAGATACAGCTCTGTGTTGGTGATATTATTAAGTTGCCAAAAGATGACAAGGTTGATGTGCTTGTTATTTCAGCTTTCCCAGGTAATAGTTTACGGGCCGTCTTAAAATGTGAACACGTTGATCGCTATATGAATTACCTTATAAGGGGGTGCGGGGTGCATGTTTATGTTTATGTTTATGCATGTTTGTATACATGTATATATATATCAAATCATTCCCAGAGACCTTTTGAGATCGACATCTGTTCAGAAAAATCACATTTACAAATTACAATGTTCAATATATTTGAAAGAACGGAACAATAAGGGGAGACGTCCATATTCAAGTTGCCACGTAAAACGTCAAATTGACGTTTTGGGTGGGTGGGTGGGTTAAAATGCTTTCCAGTCAAAACGGTACTCAGTGAGCTTCGGCAGGGGTTAGGCATTTGGGTTAATGCCTTTCAGACAAAATAGGAGGGGGGAAGCAAAATTTTGGTGGGGTTGAACACTTTATTAGAGAGATTCGAGGGGGGGGGGGTATAACCCCCCAGTAAATCTGCCAATGCTGTTGAGGTCTTCCCAAATCCCTTACTTCTCTATTCTATGACTTTTGGTGAGTGATGTACATGCCAGAGGCAAAATGAAAGAATGGAAGAATGACTCGATGTATGACTCAATGAGTGTGTCTTACACTGAGTCATTCTACCATCAAATGGAAGAATGACTCGATGTATTTAAGACACACTCATGCATGCATTAGCCACTTTAATCTTATTGCCTGACCACTATATATAGCCAGCTGGCCATGCAATTAATACTCATGTCTGTTGCAGCTAATCCTAAACAGACATCTGTACACACACTGTTTATTCAGTCACAAAACATATTTTAAGGGTGGATTCTTTAGACTCCTTACATATTCCACTGGCAGATCGATAGGTCTAGATAGAAAAACTAAAAGTTATTTAAACAACTTTATTTAAATAGGAAAAAATTTTCAATTTCCATTACCGTAATGGTTTTTGAATGGTTTTTAAATTAATGTATAAAGATCTACCATGTACTGTATACTATCAAATAATGTAAAAACTGAACTTTTACTATTACTGGTTACTACAGATTTCCCATATGGTAAATTCATTAGTAAAAACCATATGATGTTTAATATTTACCATTAATTAAATTTGTTTATGTGATAAAAACAATTAACATCAAGCACAAGTTGTGCTGTGTGTTAATGTATATTAAATTTTTATATTATTCAGTCTTACTTGCCAATAAATGGATGCTGGGAGCTACTCAGGTGTCTCTGAGGAAGGACTCAGGGTTTGGTGCTCGAGCTCAGTCAAACTCTGTCTTGCCATTCACACAATTCCCCTACCCTCCAACCCCTTGTGATATTGGTTTTTAGGTTTCCCCCCGAAGGGGGGGGGGCTATATCCCACGGTGGGTACCTGTGATGCAACTTTGTTAGGGCCAGTTGCTGTTAGGGTTTGCACTGGCCTCTTACAGTATATGTTGTTTTCTGACCATCAGAATTCTGTAAAACCACTACTCCACTGAGGAGACATGCATGCACCTTCAACACTGAGCAATACTTGACTGTGTCTTTGGCACTATGCCCTTGGATGCAAGCTCCGATAATAACAGTTAGACTTTGTCTAACTTAATTGTTAACGCAGGAGATTGATCCCTTTTACTCAAGGCCAGATTTTGGTGGAAATAGTGGGTGTGCTAGGTTGAAAAAACTTGGTGCAGCGGTCTAGCTCACGACCCCCGTGGAACGTTAGGGCTTAGAACGGGCCAGAGTCAACGACATGACATACTGTATGCATGTATATATAGTGTACATATAATATCCAGTGTATTAATTGAATTATGACTGACATACACTTCGTCCAATTTTGCCCTTCATTACAAATGCTGCAAAGTTTCTTTCAAATCATTGCATTAATTAAAAGGGTGACGCAGAGATGAATGGCTGTCATGCACTGTTTCAATTTTACAGAAAAAAACTTTCTTACAAAGTGTAGACCTAATCTATCATTGAAACTTTCCCATAGGGAGACCTGTGCATAACGTTTCAGGGGACTGGGAGGTGCAAAAATTCTCAGGGGAGGTGCAAAATGATCTCCTGAGAGGTCCGCACCTCCCCACACCTCCCCTCAAAATCCGACCATGCTTTCACTATAGTCATAAAGTCTATTAATGTGTCACAAGTACAGTAGGTCAGTGTCCTATACTAGGCTGAGATTCCAGCTGTTGGCTATACCTATTGTTTGAATAGGTTTTCGGATTGGTTGATTTTGACAATAAGAGACAATAGACCTTTCCCCTTATAAGTGAAATTTTGATCTAGACAAGCCTGGACAAAAAGTTCATCACAGCTTGAAAGAGCATCACAAAATTAGTAATATTCCGAAGTTTCGTTGCGAAATGTTGTAAAATGCGGATAATATAGCCTTGCGAAGTTTGCCGCTTTTCAGTCATTTTGCATTACAAACGGGAAATTGATAATCAGTTTGATCATCTGATTATCAATTTCCCGTTTGTAATGCAAAGTGACTGAAAAACAGCAAACTTCGCAAGGCTATATTATCCGCATTTTACAACATTTCGCAACGAAACTTCGGAATATTACTAATTTTGTGATGCTCTTTCAAGCTGTGATGAAATTTTTGTCTAGACTTGCCTAGATCAAAATTTTACTCAAAAGGGGAAAGGTCTATTAAAGTACTGTATCAATTATCACCAAATAGTATAATCATGGTATTTACTGTCTCTTTTAATCCTGATCTATTTTACTACAATATATTCAATTTTCTAGGTGACTATGTGCCAACACCACCCTCCCTGATTGGCCAGCTCTTTAGTCGCCTTAACATTGATGTTCGAGCGTTAGCAAAAGATAAGAAAGAAGACTTAAGAAATTTATACTCATGTTGGTGGTCCAAACCATTGCCTGATCATCACAGTTTTGGAAAAATTCTATGCTTTGAAGGAGGGTAAGGGCTGGCATCCTTCAAACAGTTCAATGTCAGTACTGTATATACTTAGTTGTTTTTGCAAAATTTTAATGAAACAGCAAATTATCCTCAAATATTCATATAGTTGATACAATTATTCTAGCTCTATAATATACCATTTTCTATTTTGAAACTTTTTATTGGATTGTAAAATATTAATATGCATGATTGGGAAGCTTGTCATAGCATTGGTATTATACACAAATGATCTTTGTTATTAAGGGGAAAGTGTAATTGGGGTCCACTGGTAACCCGACAATGGGTTAACGAGGTCTGCCAATTTCGATATGTGCCAAAGCTATTTTACTCTGTCCACATCAGACGATTTTACAATTAGTCAGGACAGTGGTCAGGGATAAGGTCAAGGGTGAATAATGTACTATCTAGTTTTATTCTAATTGTTTAATTATTGAGTGACCCGCAGTAGATGTCTTGTATTTCATTGTAATGCTTATGCTTATGCTAACATTTGCATATAACAGATTTAAGGTTGGTAAGACATCACCTCAAATGGTTGGAGAGATATTTCGCTGTCTTGTTCCTGCAGTCGGCGATGAAGAAACTCGTGTAATGATGCCTTTGTTAGCGTCAGGTGGTCAGGTGTGTTTATACTTCAATTAATTTGCTAGTTACTCAATGTGAGTTAACAAGTTAAGTTACGTATAGTTACTATTTTTCCAAGTCGCAATAATTATAATGCAACTATTCACGTCTATTGTTAAGTAATTGGTTGATTTACAGTAGTGTAGGAACCTGCAGATAGAAGAAACTTGACTGTTAATTTTTAATTGATACTCTATTAACTAAACAACCGAATTTAAATTTCTCTTCTGTCACATTAATTTAACTGATAGACCAAGATATATTTGCAATATTAAAAACAACTTTCCAATCCTCAAGCTTGACAACACCACGGAAAATATTACTTAATTTTAACAGCACTTGTCACTTTGAATAATAATGCAATTTTGCCGAGTCTCGAAAAATTGTATTAAAGTCAAATCGAGTTGTATGATTAAAACCAATTCTCCATGTATGGCTTTAAAAAATTGATTAATTTTGTATGTTTTTGGAATGTTATGCTTCAAGCTTGAATATACTTTAACAATTTTTTAAAGATTAACTTTCTATTCTTTGCTTGCACATGACGTCACTACGTGTCATTAGGCGCCAGCCGTTTAACATCGAAATAGTTGAGTTACTTTAATATTTTGGGTTTTTTTGAAAAATCTTACTCTATTATGGATTTTACTCTGGCACAATACGACAAAGAATGGAGAATATAGATTTTTAGTTGCCACAAAAATCAACCAAGATGGCGTCGATTGCAAACGAGCAATCAGGGGCGAAACTAGCCCCTTTTAATTAAGGGGGTGTCTGGCAGAATTGCCCTTCCAAAACCAATGATGTCCTGCAACCTGCAGCGCCAGCGCTAATACAATACATCACTAAGCTTGTTGTTATTTTTTGGGGGGATGGGGGTGCCACACACCCCCATACCCCCCTCAAGTTTCGCCCCTGCGAG